CTTGGGTGGGCTTAAAAGCGGACCTCAAGGAGGCACATTCAATTTGTTGAGGGTGCAGTTTTGGATCCCCGTGCAAAGGAAACGTGTTTAAAAAGGGATCAAAAGTCAAAAACTCCTGCCAGGGTTTACGCTCTGTAGTGGCCATGTTAGCTTCTGAATTACTGCGCCTGCCAGCGTTTAAGCTGTCCAGGTTAAACTGTGAGGTGGCCATGCTTGTGATTGGGACATTTTGGTTTCCATCGTGATGTGTGCTAGGGCCGCTAGGATATGATCGACATGTGTGAGACATCATGATATCCGCACTTGTATTCTATTCTCTGGTGGTTCTACACCACATGGTGTTCTGGTGATGTCATCGACTTCGCTACGCACTGGTCCTACTGGGAACTATGTGATGTAGAGCAGAGCCTTCTGCTCTCCATCATGTTTTGGGATGCTGGAACTTGTTTTGGCTGAACGAGATATCTTGGAAAACAAACGCGAGGTTTGAGAAGGTTTTGTGAACCAGAAGAACATTGCATAGTGTATAGATTATAGAGAAACTACTTCATTCTTGACTGTATAGAAACCTGGTTATTCACGTTTGGGTGAGAACCAGACCTATTCGAGAACTTTTGGAAGTAACTCTGGTATTTTGTAGTTAGCTGAATTTGTGATTCAACGCAGTTTGGAATTGTTCCATCAACCTTTTAGGAAAGGTTGATGATTCTGAGCCTGGAATTGCGTTTCCTCAACAGACACTGGCCCGAGGGAGCTCTAGTGTCATGAAGTTCAGAATTGAACCGAACTGTAGTTTCACTTTCAGCAGGACATGGAACCATAGGAGTGGACTTGTTCGGGTGTGTCCCGTTCATTTGTTTTCCTCCCTTGTGTTGCGTCCGAGGGAAAAGACTGAAGCTGGCGTTTGTACTTGGGAATCGAGGGTCAAAACTTTTATGTGATTTTAAGATCGAGGTTTTGGTTTGCCTGTGGCCTTTGGGAATCTAGGCGATCTAGATTTTATCATGGTAGCGGAGCCCTGTGGGGCTACCCACACCATCCCACTTGCTAAGGATGGCGACTGAGGCGCAGATGACTTCGGGTGGCGCAGACTTAGTTGAGCTTGTACTGGCAGGTGTCTGAGACGTGCAGAGATAGTCGTAGCGAGAGTGGAGTGTGGCAATGATGTGTTTTGGGTGTGGTGAAAGATCTAGGGATTTAGGCTGGGAAACCCAAACCTTGTGGATTAGTACCTTCACGGTATTTTGGCTATGAACAAGTGTAGTATCTGTCCTTATCCGCAGTGGGGTATTTTGGAGCTGATCTGACACTTGACCAAGGAAATACCAATTGCGCAACAGTGATCAGTTCTGTTTACTAAGGAGTCAGGGGCCCGTTGGAAGGACTATATAGTTAGGTGTCCCGAGGCGTGCTTAGGTGAACGCGCTAGTGAGAGTAGCTGGACAGTGGGGTCACTGGCAACAGAAGAGGCCATCCGCGGAGGAGCGCAGGTAGGTTGGAGTGATCGCCAGTGCTGGTCACGATAACGGCGAGCTAAAGTTGGCAGACGGTCAGGAGATTGTGGTCAGGAAATTGTCTCTGGAATATTCTTGTGATTGGCCAAGGTGCTGGCTAGAACAGATGTTTATCCGACGTGCTGGGGAGAATCTGTATATGTTTTAGTGGTCGGGCAGCAATGACAATGAAGGACGGATGGTGTCTCCGGCGTGCGGCTGGTAACGTTCCTTTCTGAATCGGCAATTTTTTTAAACTCCAAATTGCAAGACACCATGGCAGTGAAGGATGGATGGCGCCTCGGAGAGGTGACTTTGCCGAATGCGCATCGCTTGGAAGTGGCAGAGGTGGTGATGACACAAATCAGATGCGTTCCAACCATTGCTCAAGCAATGGCTCAAACGGCGGTGTCAAGACAGGTGTCGAGTGGTGCACTCGAGTTGCAAAATTTTGCAAAGGTGTTGTGACGGAATGGTTCACACGGGTGTTTCATGCAAATTTTACGATTGTTTTTTATACATGAATACCTCGAAAACATGAACTGGGGTGTGCTCATGTTCATGGTCGCCATGTTGTTGCTTCAACCGGTTTCCACGTGGTTATACTTTTATGATCCACTCTACCACTGTATATCTTAGCTCCATTGCGTTTGTAGCGTTAGGATGATTTTGCGCTGCATTGTGTTGCAGTTAAAGAATCAAATTAAGCTGTCCATGTGCAATAGGCATGATTTGCAGAAGGACATTGGCATGCAACTACGCAAATCGTGTTTCAGTGAGGAGCCACAACCACTGCATCATTGCATTTTGCGCACAATAATGGCGTAGCAAACCCACCAATGTTTCAGCAAATGATCGCAATGAAAATTAAATTGCCATTGAGTATACGGATTTTGCGGAAACAAAACACACAAAACTATACAACGTACAAATGAAAAAAATGTGGTTGGAAGAACGATTTTTTTTTGCAAACAATTTTCTTTTGACAGTAGCGAAATAGAAAAATATCAAATTCGTTGTGGGATGCTGTGGGGTTTTGGCGTCTGAAACTGTGGTATGTTGACACTTCATGCAGAATAAACTGACAAAATTGGCGTTTAATCGTTTCCAAGTCTTGCACGTACGCCATGGAAACTTTGGAAAGTCCGACGGAAATGAGGTTAATCATAGCACAACATTTCGCAAGGGCGGACTTGAAAAATATTTTGCTGTGTGTGTGGACGTGTCTCACGCTTTTGTTGGCTTCAGCATTTGAGATTTTGCCTTTCCCGAAACGCCCCCTGGTTTGCCAGAAGGCCAGCCCAAAGGGATACCTTGACGGGTTGTTTTTGTTGGCATGGTTGTGCTATAAGATTTGGTCCATGGGTACGATTGTGTGCATGTACATACAAACTACAGACAAACTAACATGCAAAAGTGCATGCACATACATTATGTGTATGTCCGCGCACGGTAGGTGTAATTTGTTGCAAAATTGTCAGTTTTGTATCCAATCTAATGATATTGTTTTGATGTTGGCGGATTGCAGGCATTCACATGGGCCTGTCTGTATGTAAACCAAAGACATTCGATTTCTTTTTGGGAAATTTAATGAAGTGACATGAGTGTAGAAAACACAAATGCAAATACAATAGCGAAAACAAAAACCATTCCATATGCAAATGCAAATCCAATATGCAATGTATGTATATGATATAAGACTCAGATAAACACATAAACAACATAAATTGATAAACAAATAAACATATAAACAGAGAGTGAAACAGATACATTTACTGATATGGAGATGCAAATACATAAGGATACGTATGGATACATACAAGTAGACATGCATGTGATTTTTTTCTGTGTACAAATGCATAATATGTGTTCAATTCCGACTTCCAAATTTTGATTAATGGTTGTTCGTTGCCAAACCTGTCTAGTTGTACTTGGCAACAAACATCCAAACATTTGACACGTGGTGATGCAATAGAATCCTGCGAATGATTCTGTGCAACGAGTGGTGCATGGATTGCGGGAACGGATTTTTTCATTGTGCCAGGCCAACATGGGAGAGGAACGGCAAGATCCATCGGGTGGCCTGATGTACAATCAGTTCCTGTGATGCATTTGGAATGCAATGGATTTCTGCGTAGGATGGATTTCAAGGAATGATGTGGCTGGTTTCTTGTGTTGCACGGATTCCGAAGATCGAAGAAATGATTCATTTGAGCGTTTGCTATTTCAAAATGCATGGTATGCAATGCATCCCACATCCGTACGCCACGTTTGTTTGTTTTGTCTCCTTGTTTGTTTGTTTGTTTGTTTGCTTGCTCGCTTGCTCGCTTGTTCATTTCGTGATTTCCTCTGAAAGATGTCTGCGTGTGTTAGCTGCACAGAAGTGTCAGACCACCTTACCGAAAAGAGTTGCTCTGGTACTTTTTCAAGACAAACCTTGAAGTTGAAGGATTTTGCAAGGGCCATGAAACACAGTGGAACAGGTCGCAACTTGTATGCTAGACTGATAGATGTTGCAATGCTGTTTGTGTTTCGGAAGGCAACACACCCCACGGGCGAGGGGAGTCACAAACGCATTTCTCTAATGTTGGGACACAGTTGTTTGCTCCGACTTTTTTCCCATGTTTTGCCACCCTTTTGCACGAAGATGCGCAAAGTAAGCCATCCTCATTTCCGAAGTCCCTAGTTGGAACACCAGCCATAGCATGATTAGTCCGCTGAGGTTCAGCCGCGTACGGGTAGCGATCTCAGATCTTTTCAGATTGGCAGTGACCGGCAGTGACCACTTTGGAAATGACGCAAACTAAGGTTGAAATCACCTGGAAGGATCGTATCAGGAAAGAGAACGAAGCTCGACTTGCAGGCTCAAATTTGCTTCGGGGTGTCGGGCAGTTTAGGTGAAGGTTGTGCTGGTACATATGCAAACTGATCCATCCTATTTTATGCTGAGATGTGCTCTACTGGTTTGGCAGTTTAGCGGTGCAGTTTAAGCTTGAGTTGGAGGATGCAAACATGGATGGACATGGATTTCCAGTGATGTCCACAAATGAAGACTGTCTTTGGGCATGTTGCAGATCTCCATGCCTTTGGTGCATCCGCGTGCAGTCTTTCGCAGTCTTTCGCGCAGGGTTAGGAGCTTCGCCCTTGGGGCGCTTGGGGTTTGGCTTACCGCTTGTTACGTGCTTTTTCACGCTGCGTTCAGTCTTCACCGTGTCAAACTCGATCCCGCAAGACTCTTGATGATATATAATTATCTATATTTATATATCTGGTTGGTGGTTTGGAACATGTGCTGTCTTCGATACCTAAGACAGCGCGTCGTACAAAGCGGTACAAAGTGGTGGTTTGGAACATTTTTTTTTCCATATATTGGGAACAATAATCCCAACTGACTTTCATATTTTTCAGAGGGGTAGGTCAACCACCAACCAGATATTATGTCAATATATGTTGTGCGTCCGGCGGACCTTGCGAGAAGTGGCTGCAGGTCCAAAGAGTGGCTTCCAGATGAACTTGGCCCAACTCAGTGCCAGTGGCGGCTTCCTTCACTTGAAGCCCCTTGGACACTGACATCGTACGGGCACGACGATGGGAGACAAAAAAGGTGGAAGTTGGATGAAAACAACTCAGAATGGAACGCAATCTGTAGCCTGTAGCCAAGATTCAAACTACCTCGTATTTTTCGTATTTGAAGTATGATTTGCTCCACTTTGGGGTCAACCAAGGCATGCCCACAATCGCTTAGAGACGGTGGTTGAGAAGGAGATCAAACAGTCACCGCAGCAGCGAATGTCTGCGGAGGGCATGGATCCGAATAGCATGGAGGCATCGGGTCTGGCTGCGCAGGGCAGTCATTTAGGAGGCTGGAGGTGGATTGATGTCGATTGATGTCGATTGATGTCGATTGATGTCGATTGATGTCGATTGATGTCGATTGATGTCGATTGTGGAGAAGAATTGATGAGGATTGATGTGACGGATGCGGATTGGACGTTGAATTGTTGAGGTCCTGGCCATCAAGCACACGAACAGAAAACCCCAAGAGAAGTGACGAGCCAAGTTTGGGCAAGTGTTTCTTGAACTATTTTTGCTCCAAGTGGATCGATATATCACTATGTCACTATGTCATGAACTTTGGTCGAATGAAAGGCATGAAGACTCTCCCAATACTTCTGGAAAGTTTCAAAGCCAAATATCATGAAATATTAAATCCCATGAGAATTCTGATAGTAACTAGTAACCATGAAAAGACATGAGAAGCGACTTCACCAAGGTTTGATACTCCGATGACCACGAGTCAGGAGCTAGGCCTTGATTAGACCATGTGAATCTTTTTCCGAGGCTGTTGTGCGATGTTCAGAACGGCTTCAGAAAGGCTTCAATCACTAAATCTAAATGGTTTGCTGTAATTACTGTATTGTCTAAGCTTCGTTCTATGGTTTTATTCCAACGGAAAGAGATTGGGACTCTGATTCCCTTGTGGACTAGAATAGTTGGATCCAAAAGAGAGTCGAGTTTAAGACATTGTCCTTAGTGACTTAGTGCTCATTCTTGTGCGTTTCTCAATCTGCTCCCAACCGCTTAAGACCGCTCTATTAGAAAAGACGTTGAAGCCTTGTCTTGTTGCTCTCTTGATGTGCCCTGCTATGCCCGTAGCTCTCAGCTTCCATGCTCATTATGCGCATTCCAAAGCAGGAACCCAGATGTTGGGCATATATTTGTGCGTATCATCATATGGCATCACCGTCACCTTTAGAGACCTCCGAACTGTGCCATGCCTTCAAATGGCCTGCAACGATTTTCTGGCAATATATATAATTATACATTATACACATAATTATATATATATAACATTATACTATATATAGAACATTATACATATATATATATAATTATACATGTATACATATATACATATATATGCAATGATGGCATGCTTCAGCCGCACTTGATCAGCCCAGACCTGAGCGTTGCGCAGACGTCGCCATGGCAAGAGCGCATGAGTTGTCCACAAGTGTCACCGGTGTAGGATATCCCATTCGTCCAGTGGACAGGCCATGGCGGTGGGTCGGGGGTGTCCAGGGGATACAGTGGGTGTGTATATATATATATATATGTATAATGTTAGATATTTGTGCTATATCAGCATGCGTGCCATGGTCAACATGGATTGTTTTCCCATATTAGGGGAATATCATCGATCCATGATCGAAGGAAGTTTAGAAGTCAAACTTCCGACAATATGGACAGATGAAAAGCAGAGCAGGGCAGAGGCAGAGAGAAGGAAAAGATTAGAAGAGAGAAGAGTAGAAGAGAAAGAGTCAGAAGAAAGAAGATGCAGGTGCGCCGCGAAAAGGTAGGAAAGTCGCGAAACAATGTGTTTTTCCAATGATTTGTGGCTCCGGAGGGCCGAAAAGTAGGCTCGCTAAATAGCGGCGGGTGCGGAGCCAGCTGGCCAGATGAGAGATGAAAAATTGCACGCCGTTGTGGCGCGAAGCACATTTCGAAGTCAAAATGTACAAAACACACCATGGTCGGACCACTTTTGGAAGTTGAGATGTCGAAAAAGTGCACGCCGTTGTGGCGAGAAGCACATTTCGAAGTCAAAATGTACAAAGCACACCATGGTCGGACCACTTTGGAAGTTGAGATGTCGAAAAAGTGCACGCCGTTGTGGCGCGAAGCACATTTCGAAGTCAAAATGTACAAAACACACCAGGTCTCGGACCACTTTTGGAGTTGAGATGTCGAAAAAGTGCACGCCGTTGTGGCGCGAAGCACATTTCGAAGTCAAAATGTTAAAAACACAGGGGTTCGGACCACTTTTGGAAGTTCAGATGTCGAAAAAGTGCACGCCGTTGTGGCGCGAAGCACATTTCGAAGTCAAAATGTTAAAAACACTAGGGGTTCGGACCACTTTTGGAGGTTCAGATGTCGCTTCGCTTCGCTTCACTAGACTACACTACATTACACTACACTAGACTCCACTACACTACACTACATTACACTACACTACACTCCACAACACTACAACTACAACTACACAACTACACTCCACTACACTCCACTACACTAAATCACACTACACTACACTACATTCCACTACACTACCTTCCACTACACTTCACTACATTACACTACACTACATTACACTACACTACAACTACAACTACGAATACACTACACTCCACTACACTCCACTACACTAAATTACACCACACTACACTACACTACATTACATTACACTACACTACACTACATTCCACTACACTCCACTACACTACACTACATTACACTGAATGACACTGCACCACAGATAGACAGGTCGACAGATAGACAGATAGACAGATAGATAGATAGATGGATGGATGGATAGACAGGTAGACAGCTAGACAGATAGACAGATGAAAGAGAGAGAGGGAGACGGAGATAGATAGATAGATAGATAGATAGATAGATAGATAGGCAATTAGATGAAAGAGAGAGAGATAGATAGATCGATAGATAGATAGATAGATACATAGAAGATAGGTTGGTAGGTGGGTAGATGGTCAGAGAAAGAGAGAGAAAGAGAGGAGACCTCAAGCACCTTTCGGTCCATCAGTGGATTCGCTCTGCCATCCCTGATTCACAACAACCAATCTCTCCTATAGGTTTCCTATTTTTGAAACTTCCGCCACCGCCTTGTGTGGTACTACTGGTATACCTGGGTTGCGTTTCCATGTGAAGCACCAAAGTGGGATAGCAGTTGTGAACAGTTGTGAATATCGAGCAGGTCCAAAAAGCCCGTTGCGATGCAGTGTCGATCCCAGTGCGAGTAATACATCTGTGATTCTTGGAGGTCCTAGTCACTTAGTGTCCGTTTGAGACAATATTCTGTACATATAGACATCATATAGACCCAGACTCCTTACAAGTTGTACAAGGCATTTCACTCTACCTTAACCCTCAACACTTGATACTTCATTCTCCGGATTATCCACAGGATTCTCCCTCCGAGTCCTTGCCACAGCTTTCCACAAGTCCCAGTGGTCCCGCAAAGAGTCCCCGCAAAGAGGTGGTACTTGCGGACACGTGCAGACTTACTACTGGATGGCAATAGCTTCGGTGGAAACTTTTTGGACACAACCACGTGAGGAACTCAGTGCCATTTGCAGTCTGAAAGAGAGATTGCGGCCCCTTTCAGTTTCACATCAAGTTTGACTGCAATCGAGTCGGCTGTTTGTATATATAGATGTATGTATGTATTTGTACTCTTTGTACATTGCAAAACCAGGGAAACACTGAAGTTCATTTGTTCTGATTTAGATAAGATTGAAACATACATGAATCCGGAGACAAGAACGCGAAAGTGACAACACCTTTTGTTTAAGATCGACATTTCGCCATAAAACCCTGGGATTGAGAAAAAGTAGACAGCGTGACTGTGACAGTGTGCGATTGCGACGGGTCTCCTTGTTTTTACGTCATGCGCCAATTTCTGACCTAAGCATGTCTCAGCTTTTGATACCACCCATAGGTTCGCCTCAAACATGGGTAGCAAGTTCATTGCATTTCCTGCATTCTAGGACCATCTCTTACATCCCCCGTGGTGAATCAAGTCCTGCCTGGGACAGGGACCATGATGGTCCTCGACGTGTTCTGCAAAGAGTGCACTTCACCACTGCTTGCAACAGAGGTCAGAAGCCAGGCGGGGGCCGGAGCTTCCGGGGCTACGACGCAGTTGCTTCCCCTATAAGTTTGAGAGGGGTAGATTCCTTGTCTATGCACAATTCCGTATTCACATAGCTCAGCTAATCGAAACAAACGAAACGCACCCTCCAGTTGGTGACAGCGACCAGATACTTTCAATGTGCAGCTCAATCCCAGCAGAGCTGGTGAGCCTGAAAAGCGAAGTGTCCGATTACCACGTGCTGAGGAGATGCTCCCTGATGGCAGAGGTTTCCACTTCATGAAGTGTTCTTCCCTTTATATAAATAATGGTGTAGTCACCGTGTAGTCTCGATTTCAAGGTGGAAAGAATGGAGAAGATTGCACTTGCCAGCACAAGAGTTACGCCTTCAACTCTCTGGGCCAATTTCAGATCCGGTGGGTCCTGGTGGGTCCCATCTAAGGCAACGACAGACGATGTGTGGCACCGGTGCTCGAGGATTTCGCAGCGCAGAGGACCTTCCACAGCTGCCGCGGCTTCCATCAGGCTGTACCATGGAAGGACCGCGGCGCAGTGGGACATCAGCTGGAGCTTAAACAATTTTCATCAAATGGACTGCTTGTTTGGTAGTTTTGGAACGAAATATTGGTGGCTCGAGTAGTTCCATACCCTTAAAGCAGTTCTGACCCAAAGGGGTTGCTCAAGTGCTAATTTGCTGACATGTTGTCGAGTAGTTGGCTCTTCACTGCACCAGTGCCTCAAAGGCTTCAGTATTGAGCCATTGGGCCGGGGCAAGAAGAAGCTCAAGTGGCTTGGTGTCAGTTGATCCTGACATGTGGTGACTAAATGTGACTAAATTTATTATCAGTCAGACCAGGGCAACGACATCCTTAATTGATTTTCTGGTCAAGGGAACACACTGCATCCTGTGAAATATCAAGCCTCTGCACACACTGAGTGATCATATAGCAGAGCAAATTGAGTCCTGACAGAAGAGAGTGGTGGACACGCACGGCCAATCACACCAATAGTGACAACTGCAACAGCGGGCAACACCATGATGACATGAGGGCTTGACAACTGCCAGTACACAACGATGAAAACAGCAATCACGAACACCACCAGCACCACCAGCATCAACAGCATTATTATCATCGCACCACTAAGACCGTATTCATGGTTCTTGGATTTTTAGGTGCACCAGTGCTTACCTCAGGTCTGTTTCAGCGGACACGAGATATGCCAAGCGAGGATTGGGCCGTGGTGGTCCTAAGTTCTGGCCGGAGAATTCATTTGGCATGAGTCAAACAATGACTAATTTGCACGGTTTCTCGTAGTTAGGACTTTAAGGTTTTGTCGCATTGTTGATTGTATTTTGTCGTCATTTTTTATGTGTCTATCACCAACGATTGTAAAGATTCAAACATAGAGAAGGAATCCAATACACAAGCAAAGAAGTAGAGTGAACATTTGTGCCTTTGTGTTGAGATGAAAATAATGAAGGATACCGTGCGGCTGGAATTCTACCTGTATTCTATGCGCAGATTCATGTGGAGCTACTGCTGTTTGGCAGAGCCAACCAATTTTTGCAGAAATGCACCCAGGGTCGCAATCTTGTGGTGTATTTTTTTTGCAGATTGTAGGTCCGAGGTGGGTGGCGTGGGTCAAAACTCGTGTCGTGCCAAGTGCGCATGCAAGGCGAGGCCCACTCCATCTACTAGGTTTTGCTATCACAGCAGCTTGCACAGGTTGTGCGGCTTGCGGCATGCCAAGCATGCCCCGCAGTGCCATACACACCTCGTGAGAAAAAAACACTTGGGTGCTCTCAGGGGTTTGATGTTGATGGTTCGTCAACTGGGCATACCAAGTTGGGATCAGGTAGCTTCGTCAGAAGAAAGTTTTGGTGAATTCAACAAATTTTCTTCCGGACGTGTGCCACTGAAGTGAGTACTAGCAAGAGATGTTGGCGAGTACGAGGACATCACTCGGAGGGTTGGATCTTGCAAAGGAGACATTTTGACCCTGCTGCAGGGAAAGTTGTCATAATCTTTTATTTGACTTGTAGATAGTTGCAGTCAGTATTTACAAATATGTACAAGATGCAAACCAAAACATCTCACGACACCCAATTCTTTGCAGGCTGGTTGATTGAAAGCCCAGTGCATTCTCGGACGTGAAAAGCTAAGTTGAAGCCATCGCTGGGAGTGGCAGAGTTGATTTTGTGGCAGGTGTTTTCTGGGATTTCCCCAGAACATGTGTTCAACAGAAGGTGATTAGGTGAAGGGAATCTAGAGAAGCTCAACTGGGCTCAAAATTGGTCGAAGTACTTGAGACATCTTGAGACTCGTTTTGAATCGGCTTGGAATTAAAAGATTAATGCCAACATGACACTGACAAAAGGCCCTTCAAATACTTTTTATCCTGCACAAGTTGATGCCAGCAAGAACAAGCTCATCATTTCCTGTCAGCAGCTTCAAAATATGGCTTCAACCCAGGATGCTTCCGCCTCCGGCGGAGATGAGTTCGGGCCCCAGGGCCCCAGGGCCCCAGATGTGATGATGGGTTGGGTTTTGTTCGGTTTGGACCAAAAAAATGCAGAAGAACATAGTTTGGAACTGTGGTGGCATTTTCAACTTGGATGGACACGCACAAATCAAGAAGTGTCCCAATACATCAGGGGTTTTTTCATGCTTCAGTCGTCTCACTGGCATGGCCCCTGCACAAGATATGACACGCAACCTTTTGGATGGCTCAAGAAAAGGCGGCCTTTAGTTGCCTTGGGTTTTTCCCCCGGTTGGGGGCTCGCAGGTTATGAGCCCAAGTGCTCCGGCGCTTGGGTGATCTCCGCTGGGGCGCAGCGATGGACCGTCGAAGGCGGCAGCTGCGTGGTGAGACGGCTGATGAACGGCTGGATCGCCTGATCGCCATGGAGCGGAACTCGAGGATCAGCTCCCCGGTGCCTGAAGTCAGAAGACTGATGGTGGAGGAGGGAAGAGCTGCAGCTTCAAGCCCTGGACCCCGACGTGATGGTCGAGGAGAAGGTGAAGCTGCTGGGTCCACGGGTTTGCTGCCAGTGGGATCGGGGACTCCGGTGCCGGATGGCCTTTTAGCTCCACTGTTCCAGGACCTTGGACAGGAAGAAGCCCCACGAGTTTTCCATAGAAGGTTGGATGAGGATGATGAGACCCGTCCAGCTGTGGTGGCAGAGCTTTCTAGTGCCGTTGGAGCTGGTCAACTATCAGCTCAGGATCAACGAGATGCTGGCCAAGAACGAGGTTTGGGATACCGTGATGGCATGACCTTGTTGGAGGCAGCAGATGGCCTGTTTGGCCACGATCGCGACAGTGCTGGAGCTCTGATGGTTCAGCCTGGTGTCAATGCCTTCTGGAGCAGCGATGTGAGAAGGGCGGCAGCGCTTGAACGAGTGCCGGATGTGGAAAGGCCTCAAGCATTACCACCGCTTGCTGGCCCGCCGATATCGTTTGGCCCTGGGCAGGCCCATGGTGAAGGCTGTGGAGGTTCAGGACATCCTCATCCTGGTGGCGCTGCTGGTGGCATTGGCCCTGAGCAGGCCTCTTTGCGCTGCGCTGTGGGTGGCATTGGCCCTGAGCAGGCCTCTTTGCGCTGCGCTGCTGGTGGCATTGGCCCTGAGCAGGCCCTCTTGCGCTGTGCATCTGGTGGCATTGGCCCTGAGCAGGCCCCCTTGCGCTGTGCGGCTAATGGCATAGGTCCTGAGCAGGCCTCTTCGCGCGGCATGGTAGCTGGTGCAGGCCCTGAGCAGGCCCTGGTTTGCGCTGCGGTGGCTGGTGGTGCTGGCCCTGTGCAGGCCCCTTCAAGCTGGGTTGCAACTGGTGGCATCGGCCCTGGGCAGGCCCTTGGTGCAGAAGGACAACAAGCAGGCCTTGTGCAGGCCAATGGAGCGCAACTTGATGGTGGTGCTGGATCTCTTCAAGCTGGTCTGAGTGGAGCTCTGTCGCAACCGTCGCCGGAGAAGTCAGTGGAAGCACTTCGGCTGAGGATTGTGAAGGCAGCAGAGGAAAGCTTCATCAGAGAGGCGAAGAAGTTGAAGGGCGAGGAGCCGGAGGGTGAGGTGCGCTCATACCACACAGCTTCGAGTGGGCCTGGAGCGAATGGAAGGATGGTTCCACCAATGCCTTCATTGCAGGGGGCTCCTACGTCGTCTTTGGTGGCAGTGCAGCCTGGGGTGCAACCTATGTCTGGGCATCATGGACTTCATCAAGGAGGTCAGACAGCTGGACTTGGATGTGGCATGATGTGGAGCCAACCGGTTTCTCCAATGGTGACTCACTCTCCTGGAACGCAGAGTGTCCTGGGTTTCAATGGTGGATGTGGGATGAATCATGGACATCATCAAGGTGGTGCAGTGTATGGTGGACCGGCCGTGACTTCTCAGAGTCCTGATGTGGGCTTACATGGTGGTGGTCAACTTCCAGGTGGATTGGGAATGTCGGCCAACGCAGGGCACCTTGGAGGTGGAATGACTGGACCAATTGTCAATGGAGGTGCAGGTGGAACTACATCGCTGGTGAGACCTCCAGGCTTGGGTGGACCGGATCTACAACAAGGTGTGGCACCGCCGATGGAGCCCTTGAGAGGTTCTGAACTTCCTCTACTACCTCAACCTGGAACGGAGCAGTCAGCTCTGCAGTTTGGTGATTGGATCACAGTGGTCACTCCAATGATTGGGGACGTGGCTGGATCTGCTCGTGGTTGGTGGGGTGACATCTTGCAAGATGCATCGAGCCTTTATGACCGGTGGCTCACTTCGACGCCCTTGGAGAGGATCAGACTTCGTCCAACAGAGGTTCAACGATCCGAGGCTCATCTACGCTTGGAGCAGAGGGTGGTGCCGATGTTGCTGAAGTGCGTCCCGGAGTCCATCAAACAGGACCTGATTGCCAGCAGGACTATGACGGTCACTGGCATTATGTACAGGTTATGGACGGTCTTTCAACCTGGGGGCAGCTCAGAGCGGGTGAGCATTCTCAAACAGCTCACGGAGCCGAAGGTGGCCAGCAGCGCACCGGACTTGCTTGGGGGACTTCGGCGATGGAGGCGTCTCATGAGCCGATCCATGGAGCTGAACTTGGCCCTTCCAGATCCGATCATTCTTGGAGGAGTTCTTCATCGCTTTGCAGATGCTCTTGGGAAGCTGGGTGGAACGCAGCTTGCGTACCGGGTAGCCTCGGTGAGGCAGGAGCTGGGGGTTGACATCAGGCCCTTGGCACTTTCCATTGAGCAGTATGCGGAGTACCTCCAGTCTGAGGCCGAGGAGCTGAGTTTGGGAATCGGCCTGAGAGCCACTACTGCTGGAGCTGCTGCCCCAACCTCGCTGAAGGCCATGGTGGGTTTGGACACTTCAACCTCGACTACAAGTGCATCAGCTCTGACTCCATCGAAGGCACCATGTAAGTTTTGGAAGACTGTGGATGGGTGCAGACGTGGATCGCAGTGCACGTTCCTTCATGAAACCTCGGAGATGAAGGGTCGGTGCTTCAACTGTGGGAGCTCTTCACATCTTCGAAAGGACTGCACAGCGAAGACCTCATCTACTTCGACTTCTCCATCTACCCCGGCTGTTGGTCCAGCAGGAGACAGCTCACAGCCGAAGAAGGTGTCCAAGGTGAAGGCGACCCCGAAGTCAGCCGTCAAGGACCAGGTGGTGGATCCTCAGAAGGGTGCTGGAAAGGCTACCAATGGAGGTGAGGCCAAGCCCAAGGAGATGGTCAACGCGGCTTCTGGAGGTGTCTCAGAAGGAACTCAAGGTGGCGATTCAACTGCCACTGAGCCGATGGGTGAGCCTTCAACAGAAGCGGCAGCTGAGCTGATGAGGGAGGCCACAAGCCTGCTGAAGTCAATCCGGTCATTGAAGGCCGTACGGATGAAGTCCGTGGGAGAAGGGATCTTTGGAGGACCGGGAGAATATGCACTCCTTGATGGTGGGGCCACTCATGGACTCCGACAGGCCAGACCTGAGGAGGAACCTGACCTGATCGCCACCAAGGTGGAGCTGGCCTGTGGATCTACGACCCTCTTCAAGCACCAGACCTTGCTGAGCCGAAGCCCTGTTGAGCCGATCATTCCATTGGCCTGGCGGCAGCTGACTACAAGATCACATGGAAGAGAGACAGCATCGTGATCCACCACCCTACCAAAGGGCCTTTGCAGTGCAGTTTGAGGGGAGGATGCCCAGTGATGTCAAGGGCGGAAGGCTTGTCCCTGCTGGGTGACTTGGAGAAGATGCAGCAGGTTGATGTGGACTTGAAGGAGGACGAGCTGAAGTGGTGGTCCGATCGCTTCCCACAGGCTCCACACT